TGAGAGAGGGAGGGGTGAGGGATGGGGGAGAGGGAGGGAGGGAGGGATGGGGAGAGGGAGGGGAGGAGGGGAGGGAGGGGGGATGGAGGCGGAGAAGGAAGGAAGAGAGGGAGGGGATGGGAGGGATGGGAGAAAGAGGGAGGGAGGGGAAGGGATGAGGGGTGGGAGGAAGAGGGAGGGGATGGGAGGGATGGTTGGAGGGTGGGATGGGTGGGAGGGATGGGAGGGGAGAGGGAGGAGGGAGGGATGGGGAGGAAGGGTGAGGGATGGGAGGGGTGGGGAGGGAGAAGGAGGGATGGTTGGGAAGGGAGGGAGGGATGGGGAGAAAGGGAGGGAGAGATGGTTGGGGGGGAGGGAGGGAGGGGAGGGATGGGGAGAAAGGAAAGGAAGGAGGGAGAGGGAGGGAAGGGATGGTTGGGAGGGGAGGGAGGGAGGATGGTTGGGAAAGGAAGAGGGAGGGAGGGAGGGAGGAAAGGGAGTGAGGGTGGATGGGAAGTAGAGAAAGAGAGAGATAGAATGAGAAATTATTTACGAGTTATATACATATATTCTATTTTTGCCTTTTCTCTCTTTTATCGTTCCTTATGCATTTTTTGCTTTCTCCCTCTCTGCTTTATTGATCGTTAGATAGTTTCACCTTTTCTATCTTCTCGTCACATTTATCTATTTTGCGTAATCTTTAGAACACGAATAACTTAAATAATAATAAATAGAATAATAATAATAAAATAATAATAAAATAATAATAATAACCCCCCCTTCCCCCCCCCAGACTTTCGAGACGACAGCTGGGCGGCCGGAGTCGACGGTTGACCTGGCCACGGCGAGGGTCAAAGGTCACGGCCGCTTCGTGCTGGGTCAGAACGTGAACCCTTCGTCTGACTGGGACGTGACCCAAACCTTCCACGGAGAGATGGTGGACTTCCGATACTACAACACGACGGTGCCCCTCGAGGACCTGGTCAAGTACACGACCTGCCGGGCGGGGGGGGCGGACCCGGAGCCCCTCTACGGCTTCGAGAAGGACCTGACGGCGCTCGACCTCAGGGGCTCGGTGGAGGTGGTCGAGGCCGAGCTGGAGGAGATCTGCAGGCCGGTGTTCTCCTACCTAGTCATGTTCACGCAGAAGCTGACCTTCGACGGCGCCCTCGGCCGCTGCAGGTCGTTCGTCGGGGACCTCGCCGTGCCGCACGACCTGCAGGAGAACGACCGGATCTACGACGACTTCGTCCGCTTCAACGACCAGTGCACGCAGGGCTGGGCGGCGCTCTTCTGGCTGGGCCTCGAGGGCAACGTCAGCGCCGCCAGCTGGAGGAACATCGCCGAGGACGAGCCGCTGGCGTGGGGCAAGTGGCTCGAGAGCTGGGAGCTCCCGACGAAGCAGTACCCGTGCGCGACCTTCGGCGGCGTCGGCATCCCCTCCATGTGGTACAACGCCGACTGCGCCACCCTCACCTGCGCCCTCTGCAACTTCACGGCCCAGCCCAGGCTCCGCGTCCGAGGCCTGTGCCCGGAGTCGAAGTTCGACCGCAACTTCATCCTCCACGGCTACGAGAACGGGCGCCCGGTCGTCGAAGGCAACTTCTTCAGCAGGATCTTCTGGGACAACTCGACCTGGGTGATGGCCGACAGGAGGGACCCCGGGGTGGAGGCGCGCATGGTGGAGAAGAGGCCCAAGGGGTACCCGCTCGGCCTCAACGCCTGGGACTTCAAGGGCGACGATTGCGCCGTGCCGAGGGTGAGGGATTTCCCACTTCGTTTTTTTCTTCTTCTTTCCTTCTCCCTTCTTTCGCTTCTTTTTTCAACTTCTACTTCTTATCCTCTCTCCCTTTTCTCTTATTGTTTTTTTTTTTTTTTAACGAAAAAACCGAAACCAAGAGGCCAGTAATGAATACAAAAAGAGATAATTAATGTATCAATAATTGAATAAATAAATACATGAATAGATAGATAGATAAAGAGAGGGAGAAAACAGATAAATCTATTAACAGATCAGCAATGAAAATAATTCAAACAAAGAAAAGAGTAAATCAACAAACAAAACAATCCATACATAAAAATGTATATAAAATCCCTTCTTTCCCTCTCCCTTCCCCCCCGTTCCCCCTCCCCTTCCTACCTCCCGTCCCTCCCTTCCCTCCCCTCTTTACCCCACTCCCCTCCTTCGCTCTCCCTCTCCCCCCTGTCCTCCCTTCGCCCTATCCCCTCTCCCCTCCTCCCTCCCCCTCTCCCCCTTCCCCCCTCCCTTCCCTCTCCCCACCTCCCTCCTCCCTCCCTCTCCCTTCCCTACCTCCCTTCCTCCCCCTATCCCCCTCCCTCCCTTCCCCCTGTCCCCATTCCCCTCCTCCCTCCTCCCTCCTCCTCTCCCCTCCCCTTCCCTTCCACTCCCCCTATCCCTTCCTCCCACCTCCCTCTCCCTATCCTTCCGTCCCACCTCCCTCCCTCCTCCCTTCCCCCTGTCCCTCCCCACCTCCCACCCACCTCCCTCCTCCTTCCTCTCCCCCAGGCCTCCATCCTCCTGACGCGTGCGACCGCGAGGCCTTCACCTGCAGCGACGGGTCCTGCGTGCCCCTCGCCCGCCGCTGCGACCCAGATCAACCGACTGCCCCGACAACAGCGACGAGCTCAACTGCCGCGTCCTCCTGGTTCCTTCGGGGTACTCGGCCGACCTCCCGCCTCCGACCATCGGCGAGGATCCCCTGCCGCTCGTCTTCGCCCTCGTCGTCACCTCCGTCAGGGACTTCGACCTCGTGGGGTTCAAGATGGAGCTCGACCTGCGGGAGAGCATCACCTGGAGGGACGCGAGGATCACCTTCTCGAACCTGAGGGACGGGGATTTCAGCAATAGGGCCAAGGTGAGGGGGGTGTAGAGGGCTGGGGGAGGGGTAGGGGAGGGGTGAAGGGTAGGGGAGTGGGGGTGGTGTTTAAGGGCGAAGGTGAGGGTGTGGGTGGTGGGTGTATATATATATATATATATATATATATATATATATATATATATATATATATATATATATATATATATATATATATATATATCAGTTACCCCCGTCAGGTGAGCGAAGAGCTGTGGCTTCCCAAGATCAGCGTGCAGGACAGCGAATTCTTTATTTCCCTCTCTCTCTCTCTCTCTCTCTCTCTCTCTCTCTCTCTCTCTCTTCTCTCTCTCTC